AAATTTAATGCCCTACAAAAAAGGTATCTTATATTTTTTCCGTAAACCTCACCATTTGAATGATATTGAAGATTTAAGTTTGATTATTTTAAGACAAATTTCATTTTTGTTTATGAATTTTATAACTCGACAATAAATGACTATTATAAAATGCGCAATACAAATTTTTGTAGGAAATTAACTGCTCTATAAAAATGGTGTCTTATGTTTTTTCGATTAAATTAAGCGTTCAAAAGATATTCAGAGATAGAAATTAGTACACATGAAAGTTTGATGATGATTTTTTGTTTCATTAACCCTTTGACTGCTAAAGGCGTATATATACGCTCTCACAAATTTATCAATATATACGAAAGGCGTATATATACGCTCTCACAAATCCATCAGTATACACGAAAGGCGTAAATATACGCCCTCTGTATTTTTTTTACTGTAACACCTTTATTGCTGTTTTACCGATTAATTTAACATGGAATTTATTGTGATATGTAACATAGCAACTAAATATTGGCAATCATTTCAACGTCGTTTAGTTAATTGCTTTTATATTTGAAATTGGTCTATTTTAATTTTATTATCTTTATTCGTTCATTATCGTTTTATTATTTTTATAATTAGGGTTAAAATTATTCAAATATCCTGTTAAAGTTATTATACTCTGTGTTACATAATAAATATTGTTATTTTTTCGTTTATATTTAAATTACCGATTATTATTGAAGGAATGCACAAAATAAATAAAATAAATTACAATAGCTTAAAAAATTACTACTATTGCTTAAATTGTTAATTATATTTACTACAAAAATTGACCAATAATGCATTGAAATCTTTTTACATTTTTAATTTTCGAAAGTATATATATCGAGTCTTAAATAACTTCCGTGTTTTATGAGACAAAGAAATGCGTTTCTTATTAGTGAAAGACACTTTTTATCGAGTTTTTTTTCTCTTTGCATTTGTTGGACATATCTATTGGATTTTGCTCCAATATTACCTTTAAAAGGTTCGTCAAAGTCGAAAATACGTCCTGCACTCGGTTCGTCTTTTAAGGTCGTATCTCCAGAATGCAATTTTACAAACCAATTTCTGACTGGCCTATCAATTATCAGTCCTGCACCGTATACGCTGCATAGTTTTTCAGCTGCCACCTTAGTGCTATTGCCTTGTTTAACACTAGATTCACAGAACCCTTCAAAATGACGGGTTTTCGATTTAATGTTAAAAATTCTGAACATGAAAACATTATTCTTTAAATATTACATGTTGGTTTTTAATTATATAATGCAGCGAATATATATTTTTAGTCATTTTCTTTGGAACACCTTTTCTTTTTTTATTATTTCCAGATGTGGTATACCTCTTTTTACAAAAATCCGTTTATTTGATGGGTTAAATTATATAGATATACAACATCTGGAAATAATAAAAATGAAATAACAATGAATAAGAAACAACAACACTAAACAAATGACGACTATTTTCCAGTAAATACATGAGCAAACAAGTTTAAACTTGTTGTTTACAGTTAGATCAAACCTTCTCATATCACAAATACTCACAGTTCACTGGTAAGCTTAGCCGGTAAAAGAATTTATTTTTGGAAATGAAGTATGTCTTATTATTTTATAAAACAAGTAGATCAAAGTGAAAGATTATAAGATACAATTTAGATGTAAAAAATGTATTGAAGACAACGGTAAATGGAAATCTATAACTTTTTAATAAATAATTTAACCCTTTGACTGCTAACTACTCTAAGTTGAAGCGATCGCTGGGGACTGAATACTACTATTTTTTTTTATTTTTATTTCTTTGTATTTCCAAACATACATATAAGAAAACATCAAAGGGTTAAAACAAAAATGCATTTAGACACCCGTCAAAAAGTTTTTTCAGTAAAAAAAAGTATGCACACACAAGCAATGCCTGTAAATCTAGTGTTAAATATTTAGGGCTCAACAAAGAATGTTAAAATCAATTCAAAAATTTAACCCTTTTATTAGGTCATTAAGTATGAAATGTCTGATTTGAGACTGGAAGTTTGGTTTATTATATCTCGGGCAATAAATAATATAATTAACCAAAATATGCACCTAAACTATCAATACAACGTTGCCATTTTAACGATAGCTTATTAATACCGCTAGCGAAAAAATCTGGAGAGCAGATGGTGATAAAATCGCGAAAGGCATTTTCCACCGCATGTTGGGAATTAAATATTTTTCTTTGCAAAAAATTGTCCAAAGCTCGGAAAAAATGGTAATCGGTTGGCGCGAGATCTGGCGAGTACGGTGGGTGACAAAGTGTTTCCAGGTTCAGTTCCTGTAGTTTAAGTAACGCCGATCTTGCAACGTGTGGTCGAGCGTTGTCCTGCAAGAGGATTGGTCTGTCCCTGTTGACCAATCTCGGCTGCTTAATTTGCAGCTGCCTCATCATTTCTTCTAACTGTTCATGTAGAGGTTCGCTGTTATCGATTGCCCAGGTCTCATAAAACTATAGTGTATAACACCCGTGCTGGACCACCAAACAGACACCATTAGTTTTTTTTGGTGTTTACTCGGTTTTGGGGTGTGTTTCGGCGCTTCATCTTTGTCCAACCATTGTGTCGAACGCTTGCGATTATCAAAAAGTATACACTTTTCATCGCACGTGACTATCCGGTGCAAAAATGGATCACCTTTTAGTCTTGATACCAAAGAACAGCAAGCCTCGAAGCGGTTGCGTTGCTGACGCTCGCTCAACTCATGCGGAACCCACCTATCCAGCTTCTTTACTTTTCCGATTGCTTTCAGATGACTTAATACTGTTGGGATGGTAACTTAAAACCTTGCTGCTAGTCCACTCGTCGTTTCAGATGGATTTGCTTCCATTACAGCTTTCAGTTGGTCGTCATCCACCTTGCTCTTAGGCCGCTCGAGTGATTCATTTTTAAGATCAAAATCTCCAGATCGGAATTTTTTGAACCATCGAAATACTGTACGTTCGTTAGCCACATCTTTGCCAAGTTCGTTAACATTTCGGCTTGCCTGCGCTGCATTAGTTCCACAACAGAACTCATATTCGAAAATAACTTGCATTTTTGTCTTATCCATGGATTACAATATTTTTAACCTCCAGATGACAATAAGATAGACTATTAAAAACAAAAAAGGGCATCTAAAAGCCAGATGGTGTACCTTCTTCATGCAAAAAAAAAATAAAGGACGATCGAAGTGAAATATCGGAGACATCTGGTATATCAAACTTTTGAGGCTTTAGGTAATCAGACATTTCATACTTATTGACCTAATAAAAGTAATCGAACGATGATATTATGTGCCCATAATTATGAAGTGGTCTAAACATATGTGATTTATTTATATAAAGTTATGATGAAAGCATGACGACATTTATTACGTGCAAATACGTTTTACAACATAAAAAACTATATTTTAATTTTTTTTCACGATGATATTATTTATATCTTCTATATTTTTTTTTATTTGTATGATTTTTAATGAATATTGAAAAATTAGTGCGCATTACTTTATTTCTCCGTTTGTTCTTTAGTCTGCCGCCCCCCTGACTCTTTCCCAACGTCTAAGTATGTGGTATTTGATATTATATATTGTGTAATCACATTAATAACATTGATTTGAAATAATAAAGTTATATATTCTGTATGATGATTGGTCTTCTTCATATAAAGACAATGTAAATTACTGTTAACATCTTACCAAAATTTTTATTTAGAGTATCAATCTGAAATGATAAATTTATTTTTATATTGTAAATTAAAAAAATGGGGGGGTAGGCAACCAGACAAAGTTTCGTTGTTTTAACTGTACGAAACAATTAAACCTTAACAGTTTCGATGAGAAAGAGAGAATTTATGAAGAACTCATAGATCCCTCTTATCCCAAGTTTAAGGTTGCGTCAGGGTTGCGTCTAACTGCGCGGTGAGAACCGAGCAGCCTACCCGAATTGTACCGAACAAAATTCCAAACTTTATACACATCGAAGCCCGAAACCGTTTGCGAGATTAAAGAGACATCTATCGGCAAATTTTAGAACTTCTTATAAAGTTTCTTTTAAGGCTAATACTATTTAAGAAATTTCCCACTCAGGTCTATAGGCACCGTGCGTGATTGCAGCGCCATGGTAGCGCCATGGTATCTATGGAACTAAAAAACGCTGCTGCTGAGGATTTTAATATCTAAACGTATAAGGCTTTGCGATAACAATTCATTTTTGTTATTAAAAACATTTTTGTTTTGTATGTCAAACCACGTGACAATAAAATTTCAATCTTGTGCAATTATGATGCAAAAATTACTGCTAAAAACTTTTTATTTATTAATACAAATTTTATAAAGCTTTAAAAAATATATACAATTACATAAAAGAACGGTTACATATTTACTATCCATTTTCTGTATCTTTTTTATCAGAAATTATTGGGGACTGTAAATTAACTAAAACACAACAAACATGCATAATGTCATTAATGCAATGTAATAAATTTTCTGGGATTTTATTTAATATTTCATAGGTCTTCAGACGTTGCATTATTCTTTCCATGTGAATTCTTACTCTTCCTATACTGTATGTTTGTTGAGTTTGTTCCTTTGTAAATTCATTGTTTTGTTCTAAAAACGGTGGCATTATCATTTTTATTTTTTTACCACTTGAATCAATGACAGTCTTTATTTCTGGAAATCCTTTATCAGCCAAAACAGTGTCACCATCTTCTAATAAATCAAGCAGTCCTGATTCTATTGTCAATTGAGAATCAGACTTTCGTCCTCCAGCTATTTTGGATTTAAAACAAATGAAACCTCCGGGAGTAATACCAATAAGAACTTTAACAGTTAAATTTTTTTTATACTGAGAATATGTAAAAACACGATTGTCCACACTTGCAGGAATTTTAATCCTGAATTCTGTACAATCAATTATAACTCTGGTATTGCTGTATTGTGGATGAAAACATTTAGGYATTGTTTCTTGTACAGCGTCAATATCTGGCCAAAACACTAAATTTCTAGTTGTACCAGCTAATTTTTGCAAGATTTCTGAAAAAATTCTTGAAATAGTCGTCCTATGAACATTGAATAATACACTCARTGCTGAGAATGTTAATCCAGTTTTCATTTTCATTAAAAATATTAGCAATCTATCTTTTTTAGGCACTTTGCATTTTCCAAGTGCACATGTTCTTTCTAATAAAAATTCAAAAATTTCAAAAGTAACACCTGCAATATCAATTAACTCATGATTCTTAGTTATTGATGAAAATCCTGCAAATCGTGAATCATCAGCTTGACTTTCTTGATCAACAAATGTCTTATGAACTGTCCCACATTTTTTTGTTACATATTTTTTATTAGTATAATTAACTTTGGTTGCTCCAGTAACTTCTGTAATTTCCGTTTGAGTTTCAGCATAAGATATTTCATCTTTGATGTATCTGTTGCAAATAAATGTTTGAGAATTTACATCAAAATTTGAGTAAAAGTCTACTTGACACCCGTGGTCGACTTTCTGTGGTGATACTGGTGGATTTTCAATCATTATTTCAACAAATTCATTAATTGGTGGCTCAGTATAAGATGTTGATGATAATTTTTTTTTCATTCGACGATCCTTTAAACGCTTGTACCTGAAAAAATCATTATATTACAATTTTTATATTTAACTTTCCAAAATAACAAAATTAAATTTTGCAATAATTAATTTTTTTTGTATGAAATATAATTTATTAATCATTTATAATTATATTTTTTATTACTAACTATTTACCTGTTCTCAGCAGAAAGTTCATTCACTTTTCGATACTTGTAAATTGGAGGAAATATTGCAGGAATATAGCTAGGACTTAATTAACTCCTCTTCAGATTTTTTGCCTCCAATAAAATGATTACTACAGATATAATCGTATGATTTGAGAATCCACTGTGATCCATCAGGACTTCAGGAAAAATTATAAAATATTACTGATACATTTAATTATTTGAGACATATACCAAATAATTTTTTATAATGAATTATAAAATTGAAAAAAAAAATTAATTCTTGCAATAAGTAATTGTAAAGAATTAAATGCAGATTGATTATTCTCTAACTTTTAATTACTAATTATAATTTTAAATTTTTTGTTTTTATTCAACTTACAAATATTAGAACACAAGCTATTTTCAGTATCATTGATGTTACGAAAATAAAGGTTAGGATACTATTTACTTTTGCCTCCTCACTGCAGCTATCCACATTTTTCTTTGATTGATTTTCCATTTGGCAGTCGGAAATTTGTAAAATTTACAATCACTTTTTGCACTCGTAATTTTACAATTTACTACACAGCAACTGCGATGGCTATTTCTACCCATTTTTTTAAAAATATCATAAAATTAATTGTCACACGTATGTTTTGTGAACACCAAAATAAAAAACACCGACTTTTACTGCCAAAGTTATCCATTGCGTGCGCTAGTGTCCATTTCGGCTTCCCCTACCATGACTTCGCACGGTGCCTATACCATAACAAAAAATCTGTTTTCAAAGATCAGAAAAAGATAAGAACGAGCATTCAATATTTGTGATTATTTTGTTTTTGTCTTCATAATTTTCGAAGAATAAGTAATTAGATCATCAATATATATACAGGGTGATTCACGAACTCTTGCCACCTAAATAACTCCGAAAGTGTGATAGTAGCTGAAAAGTTTATTAGAGAAAAAATTGCATGAAAAATTCAGGACTATAATATGACGTAATTTTTTTTTTGTTAGGTGATTCCACTTGCGAGATTTAATTGTCAACTTGGTTTTTTTTTAAGAAGAATGCTATGTTTTAATACTTATTTTCTGATTACGGCTGTCGAGACGAATCCTTTATTCTTTGTACTATGAACTTATCTTCTGTAAATACTACCGTCTAAACAAATACCTGAACAACGAAAAATCTAAAGCACACTTTAAATCGTATCGCTCTCCCAGCTTATCGTGCTGTGTACACTAGGAGTCTCAGATTTGGGCCCGAGGAAACTGCACCGATTCACGGTTGGCGCTCAAAGTGTTAAAAATGTTTCTATTTTATTAAAAAATTAGTATAAGTTTCTTAAATAAGTAAATATTATAATTAACCCTTATCGGTCTTCAGTCACGCGGAAGTGACTTACAAATAATAGAAATATGTTATTAATAATTAAATAATTAAATAATTTCATATTTTTGTAGTCTCCTTCGAAAAAAAAAATAATTTTTAATAAATAATAAGTTATTCATATAATACTGAACAATTGTGTTGAATATTTTTCCGAAATCATTTATAATTTAAAGAGAATCTGAACAAATCTAAATTACATCGATAGAAGACATTTTTGTCCATGCTTTTTTTTTCTTTTATTCTTTTCAAAGTAAAGAATTTTAAAGATACAAGACAGCTTTTTGTTTGAAAATCATTCAAGTAGGGGATACCCTTGACCTCGTACTTCAACTTAATCTGTAAAAGGAAGAAATCGAGCGTAAAAAGAGCAGCGAGGTCGATGATGTCCTCCTAACGGAAAAGAAAGAAAGAAAGAAAAACACACACGTTAGAAGTGAAACCTTCAAAAAAGCAACTTTCAAGAAAATGAGATGAATGCAAAGTATCAGGAGTAGGATAATTATAGGATTTATTTATTATAATATTGTCACCATATATAACAAAGGGTACTGATATGATCTTGGGGTGGGGGTAGCTGAAAAAAACTACCACTTTCCAAATTCTAGGAATCACAATGGAATATCGAATGACCATAGAAATGAATAGAAATAAATAGAAATTACAAGCTACATAGATTATTTTTTTAACCGATTAATTAGAAAACCATAGGTAGACAYCAAAATCGTACGATGTTTTTTTATAAAACATTTTTAAAAAATAAAAAATAATTATCGGACGTGGCAAATTAAAGGACGTATGAAATCTTTTATTTGACATAACATAATTTGCAAGCATTTCTAATTTTTTGCCAAAGAACATTTTTTTAAAACATTTCGTTCTAAACGTACTTATCTTTTGTTATAAGAAGATAAGAAACAAAAAATGCCTCAATAATCTTTCAAAAAAGATTATCTTCACAATAGGATAAGAATTTCTTTCTAAACGTAATAATTTCTTGCTACAATAAGTAACTATTGACACAGTGTCTTTATTATACCGGGATTATTGTGTAGCGCAGTATAGAAGCACATTGTGGGCCTGACAGAGATTTTCTTGAAAACTAGCGTGGCAGTCAATGTGTTAAAAAGTTAATCGTATTTTTGTCCTACATTGAATTTACGAATTCTTATCGCAAAACTAATAGGAGCATCGTGATTTAAAATAAAAATTTTTAAATCCAATCGATAATCGTCGTTATAATAAACTCATTTTCCTATTTATACCAATATAGTTAAACGTTACTATTTCTTTGATTAAAATCGAATATATTAAAGATCATAATGATCACTTGGTACATAAGTATTTCATATATATATGTATATGTTATGCATAACATATTTATAATTATGCATACGCGTTAGGATAATACACGATAAGAGCAATTATAATGATACGATGAAGACTAATAGTAGATAGGAACTACACGCTACATAGATTATTTTTTTACCCGATTGATTAGAAACTTCAAAAGTCCTTAAAAACACCAAAAGACTATCTATAATATATATATTGTATCGTGTGTGTGTGTGTGTGTATGTATATCTTACTATTAGCCCAATCATTCGAGATCTCGAAAAAAGACGAATAATTATCGGACGTGGCAAAAAGGACGTATGAAATTGTAAAAATAATCTCTACCTTATTAACCCTTAATTTTATCTGTAATCTGTTAATAAGCCAATTGCCACGTAATGAGAACGCTCGAGGAAAGGCAATTATTATATACGTATTTTATTCGTTTCAGGCATGTCAAACGCGTATAAAATAGCTAAACGAATTATCTCAAGTCAAACCAATTCACAATAGTCAAATGAAGTATATTCACCGTGTATACAACTTTTTGCGTACATTTGTTTAGGTAACTGATTCAATCAAAATGATAGTAAGGAAGATTTTTTTGTAAAGACGAAAAAATTATAAACCTCTTAGACACTACGCGCCACTATAGTGGCTTTCGAGAATGCCATTTTCCAGTACGACACGCTACTATACTGGCTTTCGCCAATCATATCTTTTAAAATATATTATGCCTAATTTTATTATTAATTATTAAAGTAAATTGTCTAAGTTAAAGTATATGTGCATCATTACTTTGAGAAAAATTATAATTTAATCATGAAAAACTTCGATAAAATGTACTTGCGTAGAGAACAGCCATTATTCATCACATAACGTAGTTGTTATTATTTACACGTAATTCTCGTTAAACTCTGCCATACAGAGAAAGAGCTCTCACAGCATTCACCAGTGCCTAAGAGGTTCAATTATTTTCAATTGTAACTTACACTCGATAGAAATTAATTTGAACAGAATTTGACGTGCCCGATTGAATAGCAAATGGTATTAAGAGGTACTACTAGTGTGAAATTTTGAAGAAATCGATTTACTTTTTTTGCGTATTTCGATAGTCTATACTTTTAAAAATAACATACTAAAACTTCAAATGCACTTCTTAAATACTTTTTGAGTTACACACAGTCATCTAATATTTCTTGATTTATAGCGATCCAATCAGTAATTCCAACTTTAAACGTGTTTTTTTCGAAAACTACACTTTCAAATTTATCGCAGTTATAACTTGAAGAAAAATCATTCGATTGATTTGATTCTTGTTGCAGTTTCTTTTATATATATTTCTGAGTACCATGAACCTCCAGTTTTTCCATCGAATAGAAAATGTAATTTTTTTAGAATAAAAACCATCAAATCTTCATGTGAAATTTGAAACGTTTTTTTTTAAACTCTGCCATTTTGTTAAATTTCAATTTTTCGTTTTGACCGAGGTTTATGGTATGGGAAGTTTCTTCAAATTTAATAAACTTTTTGTTTTTTTTTTATTTCATGCACTGTGAATTTCGCTGTAACTGTAGTAGTGGGGGGACTTTTTTTGGGCCTTACGGGATTGCGAACAACTTGCTTAATTTTCAATATTTTAGTCCGAAAATTTTGTCATGTATTTATTACAAATCCACGAATATCTCCTTGAAAAATAAAAACATTCCATGCATTAGTTTTTGTTTTTTAAATTCCGAATAATCCTTTTTTTTTCAAACGGTCTCATCTGTGGTGCCCCTAAAAAATATGAGCTCTGGGTTCTCTGTGTAATAATATAAATCTTCGTAATATGCAGTCGCACAGAAAAATACATATACAACGCCTAGAATCTAGGAGTGGGGACTACGAATTATCGCACAAAGAGGAGACCGATAATAGGAAAAACTGTATACTATATTCTATCTTATTCTCTAGCAGGTTCACTCTTATGGATATATATATGTTCGTCTTTTTTTTCTTTTTAGTGACGTAGCGTTCTGTCCTTTTTCCGTTTTATCGTTTTATCCGTTTTCAAATCACCCCAATTCTAAAGAAGTTTTCACTTCAAAAAACAAATATGCTATTAAATTTGGTAAAGCATGTTTGGCGTGGAGCTAATGATTCATACGAACTTGTCTAGAATGCGGCGTTCATTGTAAAAAAAAAAAAGAATGCTGGTGACGCGTGGGTGTGGAGAAGGGTGGGCGCCAAGAATAGAAATAGGTGTTGCTATAGAAATATACTCTAAACGATCGTTACGGAGAGAAACAAGTGTCACTTCGGCCCACTGTAAGATTTGAAATTCCGGGATAGGAGGAGAGAGTATTAAAGAAGTCCAAAAAAAAAAGAGGTACGTGTTTCTCGCACGTGCGAGTCCTAAGTATAGCTACTAAAATTAACCCATTACCCGCAAATGGTCTTTTTCTCGAATACATTTTCAAATTTTTTGTTGTAATAACTGGAAAAGTATGGCATTTGAAATAATTGAATTTTAATACAGCGCCATGTGAATAGTTACTGTAATTTACATAAATATATTTATAATAAATTTCATATATAAAAGATTGCCAACTGTAATATGCAAATATAGGTTAAGCTAAGTTAGGTTAAATTTGAAAGAAAGAGGAATTCGAATTAGGCATAATAAAACATCAAATTTTTAATATATATGTAATATATAATATATAAATAACAAAATACACTAAATACACTAAATAATACTACAATTAGAATGGAATACATAAAATAATAATACAGGAAAAAATATAAAAAGCGAGGGGTTAGTTATGTCATGTATAAATCTGAAAAAAATGTATGACGTTAATATATCAAAATAATTAAATTGTAATACAGCGCCATCTATTGAAAACTGCAACCTCAGAATGAAATATATTCATTAAAATCATAAGATCGTACCTTGTACTTCATGAAAATATTAAAACTTCTTAATATTTTATTTTAAATTAATAATTAATAATATAAAATATTTAATTTAAATATAAAATTATAATTATTAGATATGATTAATAAATATAATTATTAAATGTAAAATTATTATTATTATTATAATAATATAACAATAATATATATTTATAATAATATATATTAGGGTTGCGATATACAGGGTTGGATAATATATTAATATTATATTAATTATATTAATTATTATATTAATATAATATATTATTATAATTAATAATATTATTTAAATATAAAAATATAAAAATTGTTTATTTTTATATACTTAAATATTTAAATAAAAAAAAAATTGTTGCAAAAAAATAGTACTATTTGGTTAGTATGAATATCATTGTACAGTTAATTTAATTTTTTTGGTATTCTCATATTGTGGCGGGTAATGGGTTAAGAGAAGAAAGGGGGAAGAAGAAGAGGAAGAAGAAGAAAAAGAAGAGGAGGAGGAGACAAAAACGAAAATGAAGACAAAAACGAAGACAAAAAGGAAGACGAAGACGAAGTTGGTCACACCCGCAAAATTGAGTGTGCTCGACATGTTCTCAACACTGGGAAAGACACCGTGTGTGCAGTGGCGTCGCGACGCCGGCGCAGTTTACCGGATCGATCCGGCGCGGCGGTGGCGGCGGCGGCGGCGTCCGTTTCCTCCTAACTTCTTGTCTCTCTTTAAAACTCGAGTGTGAGAGTTCGACTACGACGATTACGACGACGACTACTACGACGAGGAAAGAAACAACAAAAAAGGGAACGAAGTGAAGAAAATGTACGATAATAACAGTAAGAATCATACAAATAACGACGATGACGAGGAAGATAAACGTCTTCGACGTGCGACGTGATGCGTTCGCTAAAACCTAAACGAAGATAAAGAAAGAAGATTTTAAATTAAGGGTAGTCAAGAAAAAATAGAAATAGAAAAAGAGAGAGAAAAGAATTAATCACCTCTTAGAAGCCAACTTTTCTTCTCTCGACCCTAGCCGGTTAAAAATATTTTCAACTCCCCATTGGCGTGGAATTACTTGATTGCTGTTCTAGGAAAAGACGAGTAAGAAATAGAAAAAAAAAGATAGAAAGAGACGTTAATACGGTGCATCAATCGATCGTGAAAACGATACCTTTGGAAAATTTTTCTAAAGATTGAATCATCAAAGATGGATTATCGGTGCGCCACCGGTTCGAGATACGACGATGACGTCCTGGAGAACGAGAAAGGGTTGTTCGGTGCCACTGCGGTAAGAAGAACTCTTTCTATCAGCGTGTGTGTTCATTTTTTTGCTCACATGCAAAAAATATCAAAAAAAAGTAAAGTTTTACGAGTGATATTTGTGTTTGTTGTTGTGAATGCGATAACAAAAAAAAGGGAATATCTTAAAAATCGAATGCTTACGCAAATTACAATTTATTTTATTTTTTTCACCGCTCACCGGAGTGGTAAATTAATCGCACTTAGCACGGCGCATGCGCGACATTGCAATTTTAATTGTTATGTGCACCCTACATGAACATTCAAGGTGACCGGTTCTTCCTAATAGAATTTTTTGTTTGTTTTAACAATAAAGAAGAGAAAAATTTAACACAAAAACATATGTTTCTATGAGTTATCCCAATTGTAGAAGGATTAGAACCCACACTACGCAGTTCCCGTTTAAATCAATAGTTCAAATGTGACGACGTTTTTTGATTATGATGATTAAACGTACGCACGCTCTGCTAGGAACCCGACGACGAAGATTTTCTCGTCTAGTTCGTCGAAACGGAGAGTCCCCGAATGGTTAACTCTATTTCTGGAGTTTTCAGGAGTGTGAACTTGACACTCCGTTTATGTGTGTGACACAAGATGTTTTTTAAATAACTACTAAACCATTTTGATAAAATAAATTAACAATTACGAAGCTTTATTGATATATTAAATTAGTTTGATTTTTATAAACATTCTTAACATGTTGAATGCCACTCAACTTGGCAGTGACGTCATGGGGGCCACCGGTGACCGCTGCGGATTAACTCAAATTAATAGTAGAAATATAAAAAATTCATCATGGTGCTATGGACAATCCCTAAAATTGGCGTGGCATTCAACGTGTTAACGCGAAACTTTAACTTTATGCTCTAAACTCATTTAATTTTTTTTCCAAATGGTTACTTTTCAGAATGACAATAAGGGTGCATCGAAACGTGGCGCTCCATGCACGCGGGGTACTGCAATGTCGTTCGGTTTTCGTAGAAGACCTACCACAGGAATCCCGGTACCGATAACAAATTATGCAACGGATGTAACGTTCTTACACCAACGATCAAAGTCAGCTGGTCCTGAGCAAACTCGTAGACGAGATGACGATGTTACTTACCAGGCCGTTCAAAACTCATCCTCCGGAAGATCAACGCCACGACTGGCACCACCGAAAAAAGAAGCCACTGGGGTATCGACGAGAACAAATCGTTTTGGATACAGGCAATCGCAGGGCAGATACACGAACAAGGTCGGTGACATCTGCAACAGTCATAGTGTTAGCCACTACAATCAGGAAAGGCTTCAACAGCAACAACAGTATCACCAACAACAACAACAACATCATCAGCAGCACGAGAGTCACGTTCCTAAACAACAGAACAGAGTTGTACAGGTTAGAATTGTTTGAAATCGATTTTTTTTCCGGAGGGATTATCCAATTAGTTTACTAAAGATATTATTTTTGTTCAAAGGTTTATAATGTAGCTACAGGATCGAAGCTACGAGCATCCTCGGCAAACGTGTCGTCAGCGCACAACAGCAGCAATAGCGGTGGTAGCAGTGGTGGCAACAATAATGTCACCAATAACGATGCCAATCGAAGAGTTTCTGGCATTCCCGAATCAGTAGCCAGATACACGTTACACGCAAGTCATCTCCCACTACCCCAATACGCTGTAAGAATGAGCGATACCAATTCGAAAATCGCAAAGACAGTTGCAAATCAAAGTAGAAAAATTTCTACTGGTTCTAAGAGCTCGGCTAGTTCGAAGGAAGGCTCAGGTACCGAGGATTCTGGTGTTAGCAGCCACCAAAGTTGTCCGGGAGAAAGCGAAAGGACTGATGGTTACGATTATGTAGACGGTGCTATGACAGCTAGTAGAAGAAGCTTTGGTCGAGGTAGAAATTTAAAAATGGTAGTCAGTGGTAAGAGTTTTGACGTTCGAGATGTTGGAGATGACGATAGCACCGTTACCGAAATATCCGTAATACCGTTGCCAAAATGCTTCGCGAGCCCTAATTTAAATACCGGCCTGGTGCGTGAAAGAGCGACGCAATATCAAAGAATCGTTAACAAGGACAACAGGTACACGAGTTCCATAACTTCGATGTCAACTACTTCTTCAGAAGGATACGACGAGGGTTTGGGCGAAGAGAAAGTTTACAAAGACAGATCTCGTACCGAGAAAATACCTTCGATCAAGTCTGACTTTAGTTTGCCTAGCTCGGACGATCCCGAGTACGGTCACGGGGAAGCAATGGCTGACGAGTATTCGCTTAGCTCGAGCGACGAGTGTCATCGTTCCAATTCTAACTCTACGCAGCATATAAAAACCATATCTGACGCTGCTAAGAATGGAAATCTACCAAAAAGTACTCTTCGTTCCGTCCTTCTAACCATCGAGGACCCAGCATTTGCAGCAGCTGCTGCTACCTCTACCGCCTTAATAGACGACGAAACGTCACCAGTTGACAGTCTTTTTGACAGTCCTACGGCCAGTATCACACAATCCGACGACAAAGTGTCCAAGAAGGAATGCGTTATGGAACGATCTGGGAATACAATAGACGATGACAGTCCTGGCACTCCTACCAATGCCTCTAATTCGCTCAGTTTGTCAGAGGGAAAAGAATTTTTTGACGATGAAATTGCCGATCAGCCTGGATTAATATTCGACGATAATTCGGTCGTTGCGGTTGAGACTCAATCCGTGGCAATTAATCAAGTGGTCACAGAAAACAGTCACACTTTGGTCGAATCGATCACTAAATCAAGTAAGATTCTAATTATCACGATACAGTTGTTGATATTTATTCAGTTACAAACGTTAAATACATATTTATATTATTTTTATTTTCAACAGATATACAATCTGGAAAAAATTCTGGTATTAGTCCTTTTCATGGTAAACGAATAAGTCGTGCCGGAAGCGTCGATACCTTATCACCTTGCGAATCAATTGCTTCCGACGATTTGATGTTAGATTATGAACGCAGTGACGCAAGTTCAACCGAGGATACGCATAATCGGTTAGCAGTCGGCGTTATTATTATTAATGAAATCAAAATTTCATGGTAATTTCTATGGGTGGTCTAAATCTGTGTTGCAATGGCTTTCCTTAGATTGGATTCTAATCCAGCGTTGCACGAACTGGACGATGCAACCATACTTTCCGAATTGGAGGCACAAGGAGAAGAAGTGATGAGACAGTGGACCTCATTATTGGGCACGACTCAACCTACGCAACAACAAACTTCTAATTCTAATACTGTAAACAATAATATCAACAACAGCATCTCTAACAACAACAATCACTCCTCTACGGAATCTGGGTGTGTATTAGCACCATTTTCGTTGGCTTCTTAGTTGGACATTTAAGTGTTTAAACTTTCTTTGGCCTACTTTTCCTTTCTTTTTTCGATAGTGTCCTGTTTATCGATGTATGAATTGTTATTGTTGTTGGAGATGGGGCAGAGTAATAATTGCATCTGTAAGTAACACGTTACATTAATCCTGAGCCTCGTATCTTTTTCGATAATGATTCACGATTCGATAAATAATCGAATTTGTTCTTTTATTTATTTATTTATTTGTTGTTGTTTTTTTTTTAAATTAAATGTTAAATACGGATAACGTGGTCACTGTTGCAATTTATAAGTGCAAAGCACTTTGTATAAAATCGATACTTTCATATATTTAAAAAATGGGTGTAGAAAGTATTCGTACACTTATCAATTTGAAATAAAATGTTGTGAAATTGTAATTTATTAAATAATTTTTTATAAACGATGAATTTGTACATATTCTTGAGAGTTTTTACAATAGATCTAATGAAACAAAAACTTATTTGTTTGAATAAATTATAAAATTGATAAGGAAAACGAAAAAACATATAAACAATTCATACAATTCTTATTTTAAACTGTTTGCAAGAGAATTTGTATATAAATCATAATGTAAAAACATTACATGATTGCTTTCCAGTTATAATTGACCTCGTTAGTATGTTTGTAAGCATTATTGGCATCAGTTGAAATCAACATTTTTTAAGATCGAAAATTATTGTTGGAAAATGGGACGAAAACATATGAAAACAACGATAGAAGAAAGAAAAATGATTATTAATTTATAGAATCAATGTAAAAGATTATTTGAAGTATCGTGAATTATAAACAGACCTCGATCTACTATACTAAGTATCATTGATAGGTATGAATTAAGAAGAAAGAAACTGCATAATAATTCAAGAAATAGGCGTTCAAGGAAAATGAATCAGTACACTGAACGAGTAATCACAAGAATGATAAAACAGAATCCAATGATAAGTGCTATAAAAATAGTCGAACATCTTAAAAATAATTGAAATATTGATATATCCGCTAGTACTGTATGTAATTTTTTGTGAAATGATTGATATCATGGTCAAGTCAACACCAACTGCACTGATGCAGCTCCAAACAAGTACAGAACCTCTACCATGTTTCACTGTGGGTCGCAAGTTTTTTGGTTTCAGCTCTTCATTTTTTTTTCCTCCATACAGTGAAATCATTGATTCCTCAATAATAATTTTTTGTTTCATTGCATCTATTGTAAAGACTTTCAAGACTATGTATAAATTCATCGTTTATAAAAACTACAATTTCAGAACATTTTATTTCAAATTGATAGGTGTACGAATGCTTTCTACATCCACTGTATATAAAAGAAAGAGAGAGTTTCTTTTGCTTAACGTGATTGATCGTCATCCTATGTGCGTGTGTTTTTTCCGCTTTCGTCCTTTTTGCAAAGTGTTAGGTTGATTAGACGTGATGTTACAGAAATATATATATATAGCCTTCTCACGAAAGCATGTAACTCTCGTCGAGATTTCATTCTACCTTATTGCAGGGGAATCGTATAGCTTAGCAGAAAGAAACATATTTATCAAAGTGCAGATTACTTTGTTTCTCTTCCACGATAAAATAGAAGATATTTTTGAAAATGACTCGTTATCTGACTTTTAACGAGCATTCTTTTCGTATTCAATCGATAAAGATTTTCTACGTGCTTTCTGTAAACATATCGATCATCCATATTCTTCCATGTACACAACAGACTATTTAAATGCGCATACATTTTTTTCCTCAGCTAGTTTTATTCGTGTTGCTAGAAAGAAGAAGAAGCAGTGTCGAAAAGAAAATTGAAGCTTTTTACAGTAGTCATTATATATATGTATCGTTATTCATAGTTAGTGTAAATTTTGAAACATATATTGTCTATATATATGTATCAGTCGATATCTCACACACACATACACACATAAATATATATATATAGTGTTGATCAAAAATGTTTTTGCTATTCGTAATGAAATTGTGTATCGTTGATTTGTAGTCACCTCTAATCACGTCTCTGCGAAAATCGACGTGACATTGTACGCAGTAAAAAAACGTGCGCAACCCGAGAACGCTAAAAAGAAATAATAATAATAACAATAATAATAATAATAATAATAAAAACAAATAAAGTGGGCATGAATGCATAGAATTGGAAAGACGGCAAAACGTGTAGGGTGAATTTCAGCGATAGTTATTTTGTGTTCTAGCGCACTAGTAAAACGAGTGAAGCAATTACAAATCCCCGATGAGGACTCCGCTGGTGGGGACTACTACCAGCTGACATATCCCAACTAGCAACCGGAGTTCGCCGGGCCTCCTCCTCCTYCTCCTCCTCTCTCGACATCTACTAACATAATTGATCAAAAACAACATCAAACTCGAAATTCCCCAGACGGGGAACGGGTTACAACAGATACGTCTGTTTAGAAGAGAACATTCATGGAAAGGCTGGAATGCATATAACGTTTGGGATAAAAAAAGAGAGAGAGAGAAAAAACCAGGAGAGGATAAAAATGAAAACGAAATAGAAAAAGAGAGAGAGAGAGAGAGAGAGATCGAGTAAAACGAGGAGACAAGGAAAAAAAATTGGATAAGAATGAAGGAAAGGAGGAATAATGGAACGACAAGAAGGAAAAAAAAAAGTGTCCTAAGCAAATTCGTACAAAGAGATACAAACAGTATACTATTCTTAACACTATCGCTGATCAACTAATTGCACGAGATACGATGATTATAATAGTTTACGATAGCATTGCCACGAATCGTGATGAACGCTGAGAAATATAATCAATTTTGTAGTAATATTCGTCAATGATGATGACAGGATATTTTCGTAACAAACGAAATTATTTGATACCTTGTCAACGGCCTCGTAAATTGTCGTCCCTTTTTATCAATATCGTGTAATCTAATAGTAATTGCGTAGGAAACAAATTTGTGCAAATATATTTAAGGGGCACCATTAGTGAAATCGTTTGGAAAAAAAGTGATTTTTCTGAATTTTTTTAAAAGAAAACTACTGCATGGAATGTTTTAATTTTTTAAGGAGATATTCGTGGATATGTAATGAATGTATGTAAAAAATTTTGGACCAAACAATTAAAAATTAAGTGAGTTATTCACAATCTCCCAAGGCCCAAAAAAATAAGTCTCCACACTGCTGCAGTTATAGCGACCTTCACAGTGCATGAAATCAAAAAAACCAAAAAGTTTATTAAACTCGAAGAAACTTCCCGTACCATAAACCTCAGTCAAAATGAAAAATTAAAATTTAACAAAATGGCAGAGTTAAAAAAAAACGTTTTAAATTTCACACGAAAATTTGATGGTTTTTATCCTAAAAAAATTACATTTTCTATTCGATGGAAAAACTGGAGGTTCATGGTACTCAGAAATATATATAAAAGAAACTGCAACAAGAATCAAATCGATCGAATGATTTTTCTTCAAGTTATAACTGCGGTAAATTTAAAAATGTAGTTTTCGAAAAAAACACGTTTAAAGTTGGAATTACTGATTGGATCGTTATAAATCAAGAAATATTAGATGACTGTGTGTAACTCAAAAAGTATTTAAGAAGTGCACTTGAAGTTTTAGTATGTTATTTTTAAAAGTATAGACTATCGAAATACGCAAAAAAAGGAAAATCGATTTCTTCAAAATTTCACACTAATGGTACCTCTTAATACCATTTGCTATTCAATCGGGCATGTCAAATTCTGTTCAAATTAATTTCTATCGAGTGTAAGTTACAATTGAAAATAATTGAACCTCTTAGGCACTGGTGAATGCTGTGAGGGCTCTTTCTCTGTATGGCAGAGTTTAACGAGAATTACGTGTAAATAATTACAACAACGTTATGTGATGAATAATGGCTGTTCTCTACGCAAGTACATTTTATCGAAGTTTTTCATGATTAAATTATAATTTTTCTCAAAGTAATGATACACATATACTTTAACTTAGACAATTTACTTTAATAATTAATAATAAAATTAGGTATAATATATTTTAAAAGATATGATTGGCGAAAGCCAGTATAGTGGCATGTCGTACTAGAAGAAGACATTCGCGAGTCCTACACTGGCGCGTCGTACTGAAAGATGGCATTCTCGAAAGCCACTATAGTGGTGCGTAGTGTCTAAGAGGTTTATAATTATTTCGTATTTACAAAAAAATCTTCCTTACTATCATTTTGATTGAATCAGTTACCTAATCAAATGTACGCAAAAAGTTGTATACGCGGTGAATATACTTCATTTGACTATTTTGAATTGGTTTGACTTGAGATAATTCGTTTAACTATTTTATGCACGTTTGACATGCCTGAAACGAATAAAATACGTATATAATAATTGCCTTTCCTCGAGCGTTCTCATTACGTGGCAATTGGCTTATTAACAGATTACAGATAAAATTAAGGGTTAATAAGGTAGAGATTATTTTTTCAATTTCATACGTCCTTTTTGCCACGTCCGATAATTACTCGTCTTTTTTCGAGATCTCGAATGATTGGGCTAATAGTAAGATATACATACACACACACACACACACGATACAATATATATATTATAGATAGTCTTTTGGTGTTTTTAAGGACTTTTGAAGTTTCTAATCAATCGGGTAAAAAAATAATCTATGTAGCGTGTAGTTCCTAATTACTATTAGTCTTCATCGTATCATTATAATTGCTCTTATCGTGTATTATCCTAACGCGTATGCATAATTATAAATATTTTATGCATAACATATACATATATATATGAAATACTTATGTACCAAGTGATCATTATGATCTTTAATATATTCGATTTTAATCGAAGAAATAGTAACGTTTAACTATATCGTATAGATAGGAGAATGAGTTTATTATAACGACGATTATCGATTGGATTTAAAAATTTTTATTTTAAATCACGATGCTCCTATTAGTTTCGCGATCAAAATTCGTAAAT